TGGAGAAAGAAAATGTGTATCTATATATAGGGCAATACTATTTGACTATAAAGAAGGATAAATTCAAAACATTTGTAGGAAAATGGACAAACCTGGAAAATATCATGTTAAATGAAATAAATCAACATACAAACTTAAATACTGTATGGTATCTCTCAGTTGAGTAAGGCAAAATGTAAATAAAGAACTGATAGAAGAAAACAGAGAGACAGATCTTTTACAGATAGGAAGCGGCCCAAGAAACTGAGGCAAGGGGAGGTAAGAACAAAAGAGAAGGGGAAGTAAAAGATTTAAGACGCGTACATGCACCAGCTACCCACAAGGAACGTAAACACTGTATATCTATAAACATGAACAAAAAAATAATAGTAATGAAAATGGGGAAAGGGAACCTAGAGACAGGGGGAAGGGGAAGAAAAAAGCAGCAAGAGGCATCATACATGTATTTACTCCTGAGATGAATGTAAATTTCATGCATTGCAAATATGTATTAATAAAATTTCACAAAGATGTGATATTGGTACATGTACCAATTTCCCAAGTAAATATAATTACGAACTATTGCAAATGTATACTAATGTACATATTTTAATACTTTAATAAAAAACCTCTGTCCTAGAACAGAGATTCTCGCTCTGTTCTCTGCCACCATTAGCAGTAGCTGTGCCTTGGCTATAAAGTGCACTCCGGGGTAAATGTGGCAGCTAACCTGTAGTACATGTGCTGCAGGAGGCTGTTTGTATCATTGAAAACTCTAATAGTTCTCTAGGCTATCACTGTCTAGGGGAGTTTTTTAAAAGTTCAAATTCTTTAGATTTTCATTAGATATCAAGCATTTAGAATAACCCACAGCACACAGTAGTTGTTCAATAAACATTTGAAAATGTCTTGTAACTGAGATTATTCAGCACTGTACTTTCTCCAGATTCTCCTACCTTCCACGTTTCAGCTATAACCTGCCCAAGGTCACCTGAATATGATAAGTTCATGTTTTCCATACTTTTCCCTAGACTAGCTCCACCTTGAACTCCCTACCCTGTATTCCCACCCATCTCCAGTGTCTGGTTTCAGGGCCAATCCTCCCAGAAGCCTCCCCTGGCTGATCTAGGGATACTTTGCCCTCTAGGCACCCTGTGCATAAATCTCCTCTTGAGTCCCCTCAGCTTTAAGAAAGAGCAAAGCTAGAAAGAGAAACAGTAGATAGGTTCTTTTTGCTGGCAGGAGTACTAGTGCACAAGACTAAATGCCTGCAAGAAGCAAGATTGTCAGGTCATGGAATCTTCAAAAGGCTGAGGCCCTGAAGGCCCTGGGACATTCCCATGTTGAAGATTCAGAGAAGAGCTGAGAACAGGAAGGGTGGCAGAGGTCTTCTTAGAGGCAACCAGACTCCAAGAACTTCTCCCCACTGCCCCTGTGTTAAAGACTTGGTTCCCAGGGTGGTGCTAAACAGGTGGTGGACACTTTGTGACAGGGAGCCTAGGGAGAGATCTTTAGGTCATTAGTGCTTTGGCCTGGGAAGAGACTCTGGTCCCACCTCTCTCTCTCTTTTTTTTTCTTTTTATCGGTACCAGGGATCGAACTCACGACCGCCTGCTTGCAAGGCAGGTGCTTATGCCGCTGAGCTGAACCCCCCAGCCCCCACCTCTCTTTTTGCTTCCTAGCCACAAGGTGAGCAGTTTACCTCTCCCACACACTCCTGCCATGATATGCTGCTTGCCACAGGTCAACAGTTCATGGTTTGGAAATTCTGAAGTTGAGCAAAAAAGAAATCTATTCTCCTTTTTAATAGTAGTGCTATGGATTGAATCCAGAACTTTATGCCTGGTGGGCGAGTTCAGTATCACTGAATTACATCTTCACCCCTAACCCTCTTTCACTGTTTGATACAGGGTCTCGAAACCTGGCTTAGGATGAACTCAAACTTACAATCCTCCTGCGTCAGCCAAGAACCTGATATTATGAAGTGTGCCACTGCACATGGCCCTAATTACCTTGGATATACATAATTTTTTTTTTTTTTTTTTGGTACCTTGCACTTGCCAGTGACCTTGCACTTGCACTTGCCAGGAAGGTGTTTATGTCACTAAACTAAATCTCCAGCCCATATCTTGGATATTTTGTAGTGGTGTCAGAAAGTTAACACACTCATTATATCCAGTCACACAACAGTAAAAATACATCAAATAGCAAACAAGTTCACACAACTGAGCAGTTAAACCTAAGACTCTGTACCTTGGGCACAGCTCAGGCCACAGGTGGAGAACCAGTATGACAAGCAGGTAAAATTTAGGGAAAGTTTGAGCCACAGAGAATAAAACCCATTCAAGGCTCCTTGGTCCAATTCTACATTCTTGGACAGAAGAAATTCATTCATTTTCTACTGTGGGTCAGTCACTTAAAGGAGGCTCTAGTCTTCTCCCTCATTTAGGCCAAGTCCCAGTGTTTGGTCTCAAATCATCAGAATAGCCATTCTGCCTTCCGTGGACTTCACAGAGCCAACGTCCACAGGCTGCAGAGCTCCAAAGCAACCACAAATGGAAGGCCATCTAGAGTTAGACCTGCTCCGGCCAGGACCACAGCCCATCTGCTGCCAGCTCCAGGAATAACACCAGTGAGAAGAATCCCAGTTCCAGAAAGGCAACGCTTGCTTTGTACTCAGGCTTCAGATAGAACCCTTAAGAGTCCAAATGATGACAGTTTTGGATCACAGCTCCCAAATCAGGAATTTGTCTTCTCCAGTCTTACCCTATTAAAGCTTGAATCTGAAAGGAACCCAGGCAAAGCTCTCCCTGGGACTCGGGCCTATGCAGTGCCTTGAAGTGGGTGGGAAGGGTTAAGGCCAGGGACTGATTTGCCAAAGCTTGTTCCTGTTTCTCTCAAAAGTACTAAAAGGGAATGAAAGAGGAGAACGTGACCTATGTTCTGTTCCACGTGCAGGTCATGAGAGCAGATAGGGCAGCCACCAGCTGACCCACATCCTTGCTGCCCCTGCTTGCAACTGATGTCATCTGTATCTTATCTATCACAAGAGTGCAGGATCAGATTTCCAGCCCCCAGTGGACATCTTCCTGCTTCTTGGGCCACCTGGAGGCGGGGAGGGCTGGTCTCTCTCATGGTTTAGGGAACTGCTGAAGAACTTCTAGCAGGTATAAATTCATGTGCTCAGGGAGTGAAAGAGCAGGGAAAGGAAGGAAGGAAAGAAACACCAGCTACTCGGGTCCTGGGTGAAGATACTGGCTGAGCACTGGAACAGACCCGTCATTTAACAGGCACCCCCAGGGCCTCTGTCTAGGCTCCTTCCCTTCCTTCTACACCTCATTCCCCACCTAGTCCCAGCCCTTCAAGTACCAGGAGTGGACCCAGGCGTGGATGCACCAGGAGCGGTTTTTACAGAGAGAGATAGAGACTCAACAAGTACACCAGGAGAGCTGTGTTACTAAAAAGGGGTGGGGTGGGGCACGAATCAGGAAAATGTCACATCACTGCCACAGTTGGGACTATTGGAGAAGCAACACAAAAGAAAAGAATCTTGTCTCTGGGGAACTACGAGGACTGAGGGAAAAGGAAATAACAGCCAGGGAGGAGACTGTCAGGCCTCTACTCAGAACTGCAGTCAGAGGGGAAGACAGAGAGAATGGAGAAGTCAGACACAGTGGGACATGTAATCCCAGCACTGTGGGAGGCTGGGGCAGGACAATTACAAGTTCAGTGCTAACCCAGGCCACTTATCAAGATGCAGTCTCAAAAATCAGAAAAGTCTGGGGATGTTGCTCAGTGCAAAGATCCTGGATTTAAACCTCAGTATCACAAAAAAGAAAAAAGAAAATGGAGAGAGATGGACTGCCTGGCCAGGATAATCACATAGGACCATGAACCCAATCCAATGCATGCACCTCTATGCTAGGGTGAAATCTGTGGATCTGGGCTCTGGGTCTCCATCTTATCAGCCATCAAAGCATCAATCAGGCAAGGCTCACAGATGGAGGGACTCAGTCTCTAGAAGGATGCTAACAACTAGTCTCTGGAATTCGAAGCAAGTCCACAGGACATTTTGAGGGAGCCTGAAGACTCATTGGTTGGAGGTGGGGGTGTAGAACCAGTCCTGAGTACATGCTAGAATGAGTGTCCAAATCCCAGTAGGTTCTTCCAGGCCAGAATATGGGGTGGGGACCCTTGTGGCTGAGTCACTCTCAAAGGAGCAGCACTGGTTCTTAGAGAGTCTTGACTTTTTCAGAGAGCACCACTCTGTCCCCTCTTCCAGGGTTAGGCCACTTGTCCAGTGCATTACTAAAGAGAAATTCCTTAAGCCTGGACTGTGCTGGAAAGGGCCTCTGCCCAACCTTCACCACTGCCAGAATCATTTATAGTACACTGAGGTCTGAAGACCACATGTGACCCACAGGGCTTGCCCCAAGAACAAGGTTCTTAAGGTCCTCATTAGGACTGATTGGAGAATAAAGGTACAGATTTCCTTTCCTGGAAGGCACATAGGCACTTTATTACCCACGTAGTGGATAAGCGGGTGGATAGGCCTACCACACAGCCCCGGATAAGATTCCTTGTTTTCAGGAATCTTGTTTCCTGGACCCTAAGTCATGGGGTGGAGCCCTAAATTCTAAGATGGTGGCTCCAGGTTGTCTGAGGCATCAACCTCTACTGCCCTCTGATGGCCAACAGGAGGGAGACCAGGTTAAAGAGGCTTGGATCCTTGCAGGCATTGGAATGGAGCAGTTTCTGCCCCTGAATGCTAGGGGTAGAGGGCCTTTGCAGCCTCTCTAAGTTTACCCTTCCTGGGGACAGGCTAGACACAGGGGCTCCATGGGGCCGCACAGGAAGGCACAGTAGCACAGTCCAGGGCTGAAGAGGTACCCAGCTCTCAGGCGGACTCAGCGCCACTCCTCAGAGGCTGCCAAAGGGGGTCCCTGGAGGCAAAGGCCAGTCCACCCCTGCTCAGCAAAAGATGCTGGGAAGGCCCGGTGCCCAGACAGAACGGCACAGTATTTGTGACACATGTGTATTTGCTAGGTATATTTGCAGAAGGTCGTGGACACAAGGAAGCAGACGTACAACTGGGGAGTGAGAGGTCAGGCACTATGGGGGGGGGGGCGAGACCACTTAGTAGTCCTGGTTCCCATCTTCCTCCTCCACAAAGTCCATGGCCACATCTTCATAATCTCTTTCCAGAGCAGCCAGGTTTTCTCGGGCCTCGGAGAAGTCTGCTTCCTCCATGCCCTCGCCCACGTACCAGTGCACAAACGCCCGCTTGGCAAACATCAGGTCAAACTTGTGGTTGAGGCAGGACCAGGCCTCAACAATGGCGGTGGTGTTGCTTAGCATGCAGACTGCCCGCTGCACCGGGGCTAGGTCGCCCCCAGGCACCACGGTGGGGGGCTGGTAATTGATGCCAACCTAAGAAGAGACAGAGAGTGGTCTAAGCTGCTGGCTCAGTGAGTCCTGGGAGAGGTCTGCCCCAAAAGTGTGGCCTGGGAAGGGGCGGTCCCCGGCATTTGGCATTTGCCCACCTTTAAGAAACAAGTAGAAAGAGGAGACCGCTACTGCCAGGAACAGACAAATCCAGAACGTGGGCCATTCTATGAGAGGACTCTGGTGCCTCCAGGTCACTGCCCAGAAACAGGGTGCAAGCTGGGCAGAATCAGGCCCCCACAATCCCAACCCCCGGAGAGGATGTAGCCAGAGGGTGGGAAGTCCGAGCCCAGCCTGGGCAACACAGCAAGATTCTCTCAAAATTACAAATAATGAGTCTGGACATATGGCTCAGTGTGAAGGTTTTAAAAAGGAGAGGAGGGAGGCTGTTTTACACAAGAGACAATACACAAGTATACAAAATGCCTGGATTTGATTTGATCTTCATTTTAAAAACTGAATATAAAAAGCATTATGGCAAAGTATGTATTCTGATCAGGTATTCTCATTTAGGGGAAGTACTATCAATTTTGTTTGACATAAAAATGGACATTTCTGTTGTATAGTTATACAGGTGGGTGACTGGGTCGTAAAGCAAAAGCAAAGGGAACAGATTTAGATGTGAAATCTAGAGAGTGGGTAATTGGTGTTAGCTGTACTGCTTTCTTTACTTTAGTTTAGCAATAACATTTAACAACATAAAACTCTGAAAATCTCCAGCTGAATCTAAAGTTAACCTTCTTAAACACTGGTCTATCCTGAACACAGTATATTGAATACATTTCCTATTCAGGACTCTCCCACCCCCTCATGTAATCATGGTCAACTCGCCATGAATGCCTCTGGGGACAGCAAGCCTACCGCTTCCTACCAGCAGCCTGTTCTTCCTTTGAGCAGCTCGAGCTCTTCCTAAAGGGAAGCAGGGTGATCTCCCCTCCAGTATCCCACTCCATGCTGCACTGCAAACAGCTCTTCCACACTAGCAAGGGCCAGCATCTTTATGAGCCGGGTCCCTGCCTCCCGCTCACTGTGGTCATGCCCGCAGCAGTGTCACAGGGCAGGAAAGCTGCACCTGCCTTCTAAGGCCATAGCTGCCACTTTGATTCTTCCCAGTCCTAACTCCCAGAGCAAAGCACCGATGGCTGAAACGGGGCCGCATTCCCAGCATCCTGGGAGCGGGAACTGATAGCAGTGCAGACATAAACAAGTTCTGCATGACTGCAAAACCTACTGCCTTCACAGGTGCAGACACAGAAGTCTCCTGAGCTGTCTCCCAGTCTGACAGAAGGTCTCTCTGGGCTTCCACAAGTGTTCCCATCAGAGCAGGAGCCAGATCTCATGGCCGTGTCACTGGCACTTGCGGGTGAGACCTTCCCCGCACCCACTTGACGGGCGCACCCAGGGAAAGCGTACCCGCCAGGCTAAGTGGCAGGAAACTGATCCTTGTCCTTTTACAAAGGTGATCTTTCAGGGAGAACCCAACTGTGACCTCTGGTCCAAAGGCCTGGCTCCAAGACCACATGGGATGGAGCAAGTTAAAGGCAGCTTCTGAACCTGTACTTTGCCCTGTTCATCCCTTCCTCTGCAGCTCTGAAGGAATCTCCCTCCTGAGAGGTGCACAGGTCACAGGCTAAGCCCGCCCTTCATCCCCAACTTGCCTTGAAACCTGTGGGACACCAGTCCACAAACTGGATGGTATGCTTGGCCTTGATGGTGGCGATAGCAGCATTCACATCCTTGGCAACCACATCTCCACGATAGAGCATGCAGCAGGCCATGTACTTGCCATGGCGAGGGTCACACTTGACCATCTGATTGTAGGGCTCAAAGCAGGCACTGGTGATCTGTGGCACAGAGAGCTGCTCATGGTAGGCCTTCTCAGCTGAGATAATGGGTGAGTAGGTCACCAGGGGAAAGTGGATGCGGGGATAGGGCACCAGGTTGGTCTGGAAGTCTGCAAGGTCCACATTGAGGGCACCATTAAAACGCAGGGAGGCGGTGATGGAGGACACAACCTGGCCAATGAGTCGGTTAAGGTTGCTGTAGGTAGGGCGCTCAATATCCAGGTGGCGATTGCAGATATCAAAGGTGGCCTCATTGTCCATCATGAAGACACAGTCTGAGTGTTCTAGGGTGGAGTCAGTAGTCAGGATCGAGTTATAGGGTTCTACGACCGCTGTGGACACTCGGGGCGATGGGTAGATGACAAATTCCAACTTGGACTTCTTGCTGTATTCTACAGAAAGCCGCTCCATCAGCAGGGAGGTAAAGCCTGACCCTGTGCCACCCCCAAAGCTATTGAAGATCAGGAAGCCCTGGAGATCACTGCAGTGGTCCGTCTACAGGAGGAGATAACACCATTAAGAATGCGGATGACATGTGCCCTGTCCCGATCCCTTTCACCGGGAACTCCTTCCTGTCATAAAAGTGTCAAAAAATGAATTCTTTGAGAAGCATTACATCTATGTATCCAGTAATTTAACACAAATTTTCCTCTACCACAGATGTTCTCTCCTCTCCTCTTCTCCTCTATAGAGGTAAGAGCAGAGCATCTGGAGGAGGATTAGTGCTCCTGGAAGACAGCTGACATAGGAAGACAGCGGCAGGGGTGAGGTGGGAGAGAGGAGGGCAGGAAGGCACAGGACTTGCAGTCAGAGAGCTGGGCTTGCTCAGTTATGTTGCTTTGGCACCTACCACCCACCTGCAGGAGAGTAGGAACAAGGACAGTATACCTCAATACATCCCAATCCCCAGGTCCCACCTGAATCCAGGAACCTGCAGGTTTGCCAGCTGCCCTAGATCATCCTGATGTAGCTGTTCCTTGCACTAGAAAAGCACTGATCTATACCAAACACACAGGAAATGACTGTCTAAGAAAGAGCTAACCCTAGGACATGTTTTGTTTTGCTTGAGGAAGGAAACATGGAATCCCATGCCTCAGGTTCTTCCTGGAATGTATACAGGCCTCAGTCTCTACTGAGTGGCAGAGAGAACGTCCAGAGCAGCGGTGAGGAACCTTTTAGAGCTTTCAGTGGTACAAAGACCCTGCTGTAGCACACACCCATAGGCTTCCCAACACTCGTGCAGAAGATCCCTGTAAAGCAACAGAGCCTTGGGGCTGGGGATTTAGCTCAGCGGCATAAGCGCCTTCCTTGTAAAGCAGGCAGTCATGAGTTCAAAAGGAAAAAGACAAAAAAAAAAAAAAAAAAAAAAAAAAGCAACAGAGCCTGAGTACTGGTTCCCTGCTGGCCAGACTCTCAGTGCCTTGGGCAGGAAAGACTACACAGGACCCTAAGAACAACAAACTAAGCAGCTTAAGGAATGGAGCAAAGCCCAAAGAAATCTTGGATCAAGCAGATAGGGCAAGTAAAGTAGCAGTAGCAGGACAAAAATCAAATTTGTGAGTCCACAAATTCAGGGGAGAGTAGGTCCTTCAGGTCTCCAAGTCTAGGTCCCTCCCAGACATCACACAGAGCTCCCCCTAGGGGAAGCTGAGTAGACAGACAGGACAGAGGAGTGGGGTCAGGTTCCAGCCACTGGCTGAGTTTCCCAGTCTTCCTGCACAAGTCAGCCTGCCAGGCCAGGGAGGGAGGCTAAGGCTGCAGTGCCCTCCTGCAGGTGTCAGCGGCACCTGGACCCACTCACCACTTTTCGGATTTGGTCCATCACCACATCGATGATCTCCTTCCCCACGGTGTAATGGCCACAGGCATAGTTGTTGGCAGCGTCCTCCTTGCCAGATATCAGCTGGTCAGGGTGGAAGAGCTTCCTATAAGCACCAGTTCTTACCCCATCTTGAGGGGAAGAGACGGGGCAGAGGTAAGCAAGGCTGGTCTCATCCCCAAAAGAACACAAGGCCCTAGAACCTAAGCTCTCCTGAGTGTGACTGCATGACAGAGTGATGGACACCGGGAGCTCCAGAGGCCACTCCAAACTCCAGCTCCAGACTCCAGCTCCAAAGCCTGGAGTCACCTGGGCCCAAGGGGGACGTCAGGGGCACCTTTAACAGGCCCTTCTGCTGATCATAGCCACTCTGTTTTGGTAGGGAGGAGTCAGGATGTAGAGGAGGCTCACTTCTGTTTAGCGTAAGAACACAGAGTAAAGGAAAAAGCCCTGTCCAGTTTAACCTCCTCAGCTGTCTCTTTGGGAAGGTGGGGAGGTTTTCACAGTGGGCTCTGAGGAACTCCAGACACAGAAGGAACAAGCAGCAATGCCCCTGGGAGCCACAGGTTCACACAGGCCCAATCCTCTGTTGCAGGGACCTAACAGGAATGTTCCCAGTTCCCAGTGCCTGAGGCAAAACTAAACTCAAGAGCTTGAGCAGTGGGAAAAGGAAGTTTCCTCTCCATTCCACTCCAGTCTGGCCTTGACTCAAACATTTGCTATTTTCCTGGCAGAACTGTGTCACCAATTGTCCTCCCACTATAGGAAGTCCCCAGGAACCCCCCTGAAGGCAGCATCTAGACAAAAGCAACACACCTCAGATTCTGGCACTGTGCCTAGCAACAAGTAGAGGCTGCCCACTCACCTATGACTGCAGGCTCCAGGTCCACAAAGACAACCCGGGGCACGTGCTTGCCAGAATCTGTCTCCGTGAAAAAGGTGTTGAAGGACTCATCTTTGTTCCCCAGGGTCTTGTTGCTGAGTATGGTGCCATCAGGCTGGATGTGGTGCTCCAGGCAGTAGAGCTCCCAGCAGGCATTGCCCATCTGCACCCCAGCCTGGCCCACGTGAATGGAGACGCACTCATGCTGATGGGAGTAGAGGGAGACACTGTGAGCCGGCTTGGGGCTTGAAAAGGTGTTCCTGGGAGCAGCCCTTATCCTTTCCCCCTCTAAGGCTGAAGCTAACAGGTACCTCGCTGAAACCCAGAAGCAGCCGCCTCGCAGCTGCCACGCATCGAGCTCCTCTGTTCAAAGCCTCCCTCCACCTGCAGCCAAACCACCTCCAGGTTCTCATTCCCTTTAGTTAACTCAGGACTTAAGTGGTGGCTGTGCCCATGTCTTACAGGGCAGGGACTAGAGGAAGTCAAAGCCAAACAACCAAATCCCACTGTGCGGTGGCCTTTCTGCTGGCTGTGGAGGCTCTGGGTCCTTGGAACTTCTAGGGTCCGAGGAGCCTAGAGGGGGCCGAGATCCAGAGCTTGTCCTTGGCAGTGACTGTCTCCTTTTCACTATGACAGGAAGGACCCTTGTTGAGGCCTGCATATTACCTGAGGAAATTATGGCCATCTTTGAAAGCTCAGTCACATGTTCTTATTAGAGAGACATCTGCCCACTATGGACACATGTCACCATCCACTGTAATCAATCGCTTAATCCAAGTAAGTAAATACAGTCAGGGTCACAGTGAAGGCCAGAAGACCCACCGCTTCAGGTCCTTACTGAGGTCTGACCTCATGGTGGACTGACTTTCCCATCTCCTCGTCCTTTATCCCCAACCTGCAGTCCAGGGGACGTCTGAAAGGACCGAGCACCTCCCGGTTGCAGGTAGAGTTGTGTGCCAGGCAGCAACCACCACCGTCTGGCATCTTAGGAACTGTCCTCCAAGACCACCTCAGAGCCACCCAGAGGGTTCTGCGCATACATGGGGCTCAAGAGATTTCCGTGAGGACGGGCACCTGCGTGAACCCCAAGCCCTCCGTTTTCACTGAGGACCCAAAACAACAGGAAGGTAGAGCAAAGAACAGCATTTATTTCCCAGACACGGAGAGTTTAGAGAAAGCCCTGGTCAAGTATGGAGTCAAAGGGGCTGACCTCGGGCCTGGGCGCGCTGCCCAAGTTTTCCTAATGAGGGGAACTCGTTCTGCGCAGGGGAAACTCATCAGCTGTCCTGGCGAGGCGGGGACTGCAATTGTCTGCCGGCACCTCCCCCCGGGGCAGGGCTCGGTCCTCTCCAGACTCCAGGGCGCGCCCCGCTGCAGACAGCAGACCCCCGTCCCCGAGGGAGAGTGCAGAGCACCGAGCCGCGCCCCACTTTCCGCCCCGCACTTCCTTTCGCCGCTCGGCCCTGAGCCGCAGAGCACTCTCCCGTTCGGAACTTTGCTAGCTCACATCCTCGCGTGGAGAAGGAGGCAGGGAAGCAGCCTCGGCCGTCCCGCACGGCCCACCCTCGCCATGAACCCCAAACACTCCCGGGTCCCCTGCGCAGCCAGCCACACCCTGGCCTGCCCCGGCGACCCTCCTACCCGCGCAGACCGCCCTCTCACAGAGCCAGGCTTCCTCCTCCCAGCGGCATCCTCCCCCCGGACCCCTCGAGTGCCCCAGCCCCCGCTCACCATGGCTGCGCGCTCAGGCGAGGCTCCTTGGGAGCGGCCCAAAGCAGCGCCGCCAGGAGTCCCCGGCCACAGCGCGACTCCGGGATCGGCGGGCTCGCCGGGGCTTGTTCATCCGGCCCGCCCTGGGCCCGCCCCCAGAGGGGCTCACGCTGATTGGTCCGCAGCCGCCACGCGTCAGCCCGGCCCCTCCCCACCCCGCCCACCCGGGCCCGGGGCCGGCCCTCTGCACCCGGGCGAGCTGCCCAGGCTCGGTCCTTGCGGAGCCGGCGGGCGGGCGGGGAATTCAGCCCAGGGGAGGCCGAGGCTGGAGCATGCCGGCTCCCGGTCAGCTCGACTCTCTCCTCTGCTGGAGTGGGTGTCGGCTCCGCGAGGGACAAAGCTCGTCCTGTTTTGCCTTGGGGATTCGCACCGTGCTGTGGGCCTGGTTGGAAACGCGCGTGACCCTTGCAGGGAGCCGCGGACTTGAGCTCAGCGAGCAGGAGCGGAGGAAAGACGCGGTGGGAAACCAGGCGCTGCGCTTCCCGAGGGGAGGAAACGCAGCTGGTGAGCCGAGGGGTGCGCGGCGGGGCCAAGGGCGCGGCCTGGTGGAGACGAGCTTCCCTCCTCTCACTGGGCGGCAGCTCGCTTCAGGGCACTCGGATTCCTGCAAAAGGAAAGCCTGGCCGCCAGCGCGGATTAGGGGGGCTTGGAGGAGGAAGCGGAAAAACGGGATGGGGCCTGGAGTGTTAGGCTGAGGAGCTCCACCGTGGCCGGGCGGCCAGGGGGCTCCACCGAGGGTTTCTCCGCTGAGGAGCGAAGTGATCAGAGCAGCATCTGAGGCTGTAATCGGTGTCATTCGTGCTGTTTTTCCAGTGGCCCGTCATATTGTTCCATGCTAAAGGGCAGAGACATACCTGTTTACCCCACCTAGCTGTCCTTTGTAGTTTTTTTTTCTAAATACCTAGTAAGCATAAAATTAGTCCCTTGCTTAGTCTGGGAGGGATAATTGATGTTGATCTCATCAAATGATTGGCCCCTCAACCCTCAATGATTGCCTATGATGTTTCTAGCTTTCGTTTTCCAGTGAGGATGACTGTAACCAGTTTATTGGAGCCAGGCATGGAGACTTGAATAGGTTATTGGAATTTTGATTGCGATTGCTTTGAATCTGTATAACAGTTTTGGAAGTGTGGCCATTTTCACTGTATAAGTTCTTCCTACCCAAGAGCATGGAGTATCTCTCCATTTTTTTTTTTTTGACTTTTTCGTTTTTATCGGTACCAGAGATCGAACTCATGACCGCACACTTGCAAAGGAAGGCGATTATGCCGCTGAGCTAAATCCTCAGCCCCCTCTCCATTTTCTAATAACCTTTAATCTCATTTTTCAAAGCACTGTAGTTTTCAATGTAGAGGTCTTTTATATCCTTTGTTAGATTGATTCCCAGGTATTTCATGTTTTGGACGCTATTGTAAAAGTTATTGTTTCCCTGATTCCTCTCTCAGTGAGTTTGTTATTCATATCCAGGAAGGTTATTGATTTTTGAGTGTTAATCAGCTAAGTTACTGAATTTGCTTATTAGATCTAAAAATCTTTTGGTGGAGTTTTTGGGGTCTTCTAAGTAGACTATCATGTAATGATAGTTTAACTTCTTCCTTTCCTATCCTTATACCTTTTGTTTCTTCCTCTTGTGTAATTGTTCCTGCTAAAGTTTCCAGGATTGTGTTGAGTAAGGGTGGAGACAGTGGACATCCTTGTTTTCCTCCTGATTTTAGAGTGAAAGCTTTCAGTTTTTGCCCATTTAGTATGACGTTGACTGTTGGTTTGTCATATATGGCTTTTATCAGATTAAGATAAAGATCATCTATTCCAATTTTCTTTAGTTTTTTTTTTTTTTATCATGAATGGGTGCTGGACTTTGTCAAAAGATTTTTCTTTGTGTATTAAGATGATCATGTGATTTTTGTCTTTGGCTCTGTTAATATGGTATATTACATTTGTGGATTTACGTATGTTGAACCATGCCTGCATTCCTGCGATGAATCCCACTTGATCATGGTGTACAATCTTCTTGATGATTTGTTGCAGTCTGTTTGCCAGTGTCTTATTGGGGACTTTTGCATCAATGTAGAGATTTGGCCTGTAATTCTTAGTTGGGTCCTTCTCTGGTTTTGAATCAGATTAACACTTTTCCAGGAATGAATTTGTTGTCTTGTTTCCTGTTCAATTACTTAAATTTCCAGTAGAATTGAGCAGTGATCCCGTCAGGGCCTGGGCTTTTCATGGTTGATGCGTTTTAAATTACATCTTCCATTTTTTACATCTTTCATTTATTGATACTGGGTTATTTAGGATTTTTGTATCTTCTTACTTCAGTTTTGGTAATTCATATGTATCTAGGAGTCTGTCCATTTCTTCTGTAATTTCCATCTTGTTAGAATACAAGTTTTTTCAAAGTAGGTATAGATGAGTTTCTGGATTTCTGCAAGATCTGTTGTGATTTCACCCTTTTCATTCCTAATTGTGTGGATTTGAGTCTTTCCTTTTTTAAATAAGGTTGGCTAAGGGCTGGTCAATTTTATTTAATCTTTCAAAGAACCAACTGATTGATTCATTGTTTCTTTGTATTTTCTTTAGTCTTCAATGTGTTGATTTCTGCCCTGATCTTTATAATTTCCTCCCTTGTACAAGCTTTTGGTTTAGCCTGTTCTCTTTTGCTAGAAGTTTGAGGTTCAATATTAAGTTGTTTATATGTGCTTGCTCTGTTTTCCTGATATGGGTATTTATTGCTATATTTTTTCCTTTTAAGATTGCTTTCATTGTGTCCCACAAGTTTAGCATATTGTATTGTCATTATCATTCAACTGTAAAAGCTGTCTAATTTCTTCTTTATCGGTGACCCATTGGTTGTTTAGTAGGGTGCTATGTAATTTCCATGTGTTTATGAAGTTCTTGTGGTTTCCTTTGGCATGGAGTTCCAATTTTATTGCACTGTGGTTTGATAGTATGCATGGGTTAATTAGAATTCCTTTGCATTTACTTAAGCATGTTCTATGAGCCATTATGTGGTCTGTTTTGGAGAATGTCCCATGTGCAGCTAGCTGAGAAGAATATGTATTCCGATGTTGTGGAACACTCCATAGACATCTATTAGGTTTATTTGCTCAAAAGTTTGATTTAGTTCTAACATTTCATTATTGATTTTTTTTTTAGTTGACCTTTTTGTGACAGTGGGGTATTGAGGTGTCCCAATACAATTGTATTAGGGCTTATTTTGATTTTTCATGTCTGTTAGTAATTGTTTTATATAGCTTGGTGTACTGGTATTTGTTGCATATATATTTATGATTGTTATCTCTTCCTCTTGGATTGTTCCTTTTATGAGATTGTAGTGACCTTCTTTATTTCTCTTAATCAGTCTTGACTTGAAATTCACTTTGTCTGCAAACAGAATAGCTACCCCTACTTTTTTATGGGTTCCTGTCACATGGAGTATTGTTTTCCATGCTTTGACTTCCAATCTATGAATTTCTTTTTGAATTAAATATGTGTTTGTATGCAGCATATTGTTGGATCTTGCTTCTTGATCCGTTCTGCCAGTTTATGTCGATTGGTGAATTGAGACCATTAGCATTAATTGTTATAGTGGATATATATTGACTTAGCCTTATCATATTATTTTCCTGTTGTTGGCTCTCTCCTTTTTCCCTTCCTCTTATTGCTTGCCTTTCCTGGTGGATTTCTTTTGTTGGGGTTCATGGAGCTGTAGACCTTATTATCTCCTTCTAGATTTTCCTTCAGAACATTTTGGAAGGCTGGGTTGGTGGTCATAAATTTCCTCAGATGTTCTTTGTCATGGAAGTATCTTATTTCTCCATCAATTTTGAAAGATAGTCTTGAAAGATACATCATTCTGGGTTGAAAGTTGTTTTCGTTTAGAACTTGAAATATTTCACTCTAAACTCTCCTTGACTTGAGAGTTTGTGCTGAGAAGTCAGCAGTGATTCTGATGGACTTTCTTTTATAAATGATTTATTTCTTTTCTCCAACAGCTTCTGGGATTCTATTCTTGTGTTGAATTTCTGGAATCCTGACTATGATAGTTTGGATCTAGATTTTTTTATGATCATTGCTAATGGAGTTCTACATATCTCATTCATTGGTAGATCCAGTTCTTTTTCTCTACCAGGTAAGTTTTTAAATTTTATTTTAAAGAGAATAAAACCAAGGAAAACAAAACAGAACAAAATCAATCAAAACAGACCAGTATAAGTGACACAGGACTTCAAAACAATAGGAGATCAATAATGCCACCTGCTGTCTTCAAAATAGCTGCAGATACCTTCAGACATAGTAAAAATTAAACAAAACAGAACAGAATAGAACCAATAAAAACAAAACAATGAACGCAATAAAGGACTTTAAAACAAGATAATAGTAAATTCAAAGAAGCTACCATAATACATGTTACTAAGATCTGTGCTAAATTAGTGCCATCCACGCTTTTCTAGATAAAAGGCAGCCTCAGCATTTCTACCTTTAATCTTATCCACAGGTCTTGGTTAGACCAAGTTTCTGTTAATTTGGATAAACCCATCCTTGCTGGGTGTGGGGCTATGGAATCCAGGCTGGCTCAGTCTCCAAAGTGCTTATACACTGCCCTCTTTCTCTGCTAGTAAAAGCAGACTTCGTGACTATGCCTAGAATATCAGAGAAAACGTTTGACATGCTTTGTCCCCACACTCCATTCTTTCCTCACATGCTTAACACACATAAGAAAAGCAGCTTTGTTGCTCATCGTCTCACCATCCTTCCTCCTTGAGCATCTAGAGCTGCAGTCAGTCACTACAACCAAAAGACAAAAAATGTTTAAAACAAATGTTAAAAGAAGAAACCTCCCAACTGCACATAGGACTATTTCCATTTAGCAACAAATCACTCCCTAAGTCACTTACATAATGGGCTTCGAGGGAGAAAGCAAGTGAAAAAGGAAATTAGTTGCTATAAGAAGGTGGAATCAGTATGCTAATCACATATTCTAAAACATTACTGAACATTATATGTGTTTCTTTTTATCTGCAAAATTGTATGTATTCATATTGGGTGAGCAACAAGGAATGTAATTCTTTATGTAACTTTATATTTGAATCTTCAATTGTGATCTCTGCTATCCTAGGTGTTGTAGTCTGCGGTTAGACACAGAGAACAATTCAGATCAGGACATGGAGTTTATAATATTTTTATAATGGTCACCGGAAGTTAACACAGGAGAATGCAGGAAATCCATCCGCAACACCAACGACATAGATTTTTTAGTCAAGAGTCTAAACCCCATGGCAATGTCCCACATGAGTCCAGATAAAAACCCAGAGCTCAGAACAACGCCTCCACGAGTCCAACTGGAAGTCCAGAGCCCACAAGAAGGACTCACGCCAGTCTCTTTTACGGATTCGTGCCGGGAAGACCCAAGGGTCAGCGGTGGAAGCCAGAAAGTCTATGTCAGCAGGATGAAGGAGCTGTGCTAGTGGGATGAGGGTTCTACACTGGAGCCGAGAAGTCACACTCACAACAAAGAGCGGGGCTGTCCTGAAAGGCACCACAGCTGTCCTCAGCGACACAGAGGCCCCGAGCTCCTCCGACAACAAGCACAGTCGGGTATGTGCCAGGAAGCAGCGTGACGAGTTCATCCTGGAGACCAGGCAGCACATGTCTTCCCCTCCGGAGCCAGGAAGCAATGCTCGATGTGAGGACCAGAGCTTCTCCAGGAGAACCAACAGCTCAGACAGCAACTCGTAGGAGAACCAACAATGCCTCCATAACACCTCAACCCCTCTCCACACCTCTCTTCTTCGCCACCTATTTATCCTGGCAACCCTCCTCAGGTGGAGCATCTTCTCTCAATACATGCTGATGTAATCCAGCTGGCGTTAAGTTGACCACTAGTTATCGAACCATAACACTAGGAATGGATGACTATGCAGCTGTACAGCATTTAAGTGGAAAGAAAAAACAAAATATTAAAATGAAAGCAGTTGAGGTTAAGGTTGCCTACGTGCATGTGTAGGTAGAGAAATTCAAACAGTAAATAAACAAAATGTAGAAATGTAGCAAAAGATACCATCACTCCCCAGCCAGTATACCTCAGTATGTTAGTTGCCCAGGTAATAGTTCCAATTATAGTTCCTGTTACTTTTGTTTCTTAAAAGTGGCTTCTTGCTGTGATACATAGCTGGTTACTAGGATTTATATTGTAAAAACCAATACTCAATTGACAAGCCACTTTACTTCTGTACTTCCTGCTTGCTTATCCCATATATATGCCCTAGACCACCAGAAATCAGGGCTTGATAGTTTGGAAATGATCCCAGTCAGTGCCCAGTGACATAAATAAATCTGCCTCCAAATCCTGGGTATCGTTTTGAGGTTTCTGTTGCTTATATATTTGGTGTGTCAGTTGTGAAGACTAACTGCACTGACCTCTGTGGTCATTGGTTGTGGTCCTCAAGAACAGCGAAAGCATCTCTCTAGGTCCTCATGGGAAAGTGCAACCTTGAGATTTCTTGAGTCTCTTCAGAGGTCTGGAGGAGAATTCCTTGCTCGCTATTTGAGTAGTTCACATCGGACCCCAAAGGGAGGAGGATGCAGTTTGTCTCTTTGCCCACCTGCCTGATTCCAGTAAGACTGCTGGGGACATCCCAGTCTGTCTTTCAGTCCTTCTCAGCTTGAGTAGCAGTGGAGTCTGATTGACTCTTATTGGTCAGCACCACCCTCAAGGAAGGTTATCAGAATGTTTAACCTCTGAGTGCCTATTAAATGAATGTATAAGTGGAATGGACAGTGTGGCAATAGGCTGCTGTGTTTGTACAGCAAAACTTGGAAGCACTGGTTATGATGGCTGATGGGGCCCTCATCTGCAGTTTCATGGCGATTGACATATGGCATAACAGAGATCTCACACCCCTCCATAGCTAAGCTGCACCTAAGTCCCTGCAAGGGATGTGGCCAAGTGAGCATCTAAATGGACTGTCTCTTAGGGGTACCCACCCTTTGTCTGTTGCAGTATTGTTCAAGGGTACACAACACACACATAGGAAGTAAAAAATGCAACTTAATTAGTCAAAACCGTCAGTATCTAACTGCAAATGAAAGGATTTTTACAAAGTGAAAAAGAAAACCAAACTCCTTTACTTAAAAAAAAAATGAAAAGAAGGCCCATTCTTCCTGAGAATTCTGCCTTGGCACCCTTGTTGGTCACTGCAGTCACTGCCAACCCCTCTAGTTTCATTCCCTGCTCTCAACTTGTCTACTTCCAGACAACTGAACTGGTTCCAGCTAGCCTTTGCCTGGCCATCAACCATGGAGGCCCTCCGCCTTATCGTTCTGCTTCATGGCTATGCCTATCCTGGTCAGATGGCCTCATCTAATTCCCAACCAAGATAACTACCAGCAATTCCTTCTAGTTCCACAGTGTAAGAAAAAATTGGATTATCATCTCTGACAAATAAGTTGCAATGGCCTTTCCCAAAGATCACTCTGCCTAAAAGCATAAAATCAGTCATTTCTCAAAAAATTAAAAGGGAGGACAAAAAGTCCATCAACTACTGCTACCCAGAAACCTGATAAAAAGCACCTACTGTCCATAAAAAAAAAAATTCATTCTAGTAAGAAACCATACCCTCTGGCTCTATCAAATTGGGCCACCAAAGCCCACGATCATTATAAAAGTCAGGGGGCAAACCTGTGTCTTTCCTGGTAAACAGTATAACTCTCTGGCTTCAGAAATTCCTGCTATCAAAAAGTTACCATTACTTGGGCAACTAACACACTTGCCTCTTACCCCATTTGCCAGACATAAACTTTTGCAGCCTGGAAAAATATCTCACCAAACATAAATTCCTCTTGCCAAGCCAGTCTCCCTCCCTCTCATTTAACCCTGTAATTGCTCCAGAAGAAAAATGATGCACTCATCATCTTGAACCAAATAATAATCCTGAAATTCTGAAAACTCCTCCCACAGGTATAAGCCAAAGACTCACCTCGGGGCTGACCATCAACCATGCCACTTCACCTTTACCCTTGTTGCTGCAGTTGTCATGAAGAGCATAAACAGGCATCCAGCCACACATCAGCTTAATAAACTTAATAACCTTGGGCAAAATCTCTATGCCATTACCAAGACAATCATCACCCTACATTCTGTGGTTCCCAACTCACACACTTTTTGAACTGTTACTCAATTGCCATAAGGGTTTGGGAGCTCTCCCACTATTTGGGGGGGGGGGTCCTAGAAACAGAATTGGCCCTGGAATAGCCTGTTTCTCTATCCCTTCCAGCTCCATCACAATCCCCTGAAAAACAACAACAAAAACAAACAAACAGAAAAACCAACCACAGCAACAAAAAAAAAAACCCAAGGGTGCAATACAACAAAATGGTTATACACTATCAAACTGCTAAAATATACCTCTCTTGCCTGTAAAGCTAGTTTGAGAGCTCTGAGCTGCAAAGCTGCCACAATTGCCCACCATATATGTTGCCCCCATCTCCTGCTGCCCACTACCTGCTGATAAACCTGTCTGAACATTAAAAAATGCTTTCTTTTTCCTTCAGTTGGAGCCTGTCAGCCAGCCCGTACACTCAAAAACAAAAACAAAAAGAAAACCCCAGTTCTGGACTAAAAAGACAGCGAACCTGGACTCAACCTCCAAGAGGTTTAAAAGCTTATTTGCCTCTTTAAAAAGGCCTTCACAGCTAACATTGATAGTTTCCCAGCATAAAATATCCCTATGCTTGTAATTCAGAACACTGAAGCTGCCTGTTGAAAAAGCATAAAAGCTGTGCTTCTACATCTGGCAAAACTGGTTTAAAAAAAAAAAAAAAAACCAACCCCCCAAAAAACTCCACGAATTCGTTAAAGCTGATAGTTTCTATAAAATCTGGATCCTTAAGTCCACAAAAACCATGATGCTTACTCAAACTGTCAGCCCCTGGAAACACCTGGTGGCCTACCTGTATAAAAACTTGGATCCAGTAGCTGAGAGCTGCCTCCCCCTCACTTCCATGCTCTAAAAGCCACCTTCCTTCCAATCAAAAAACTAGCAAGCTTACCTTAGTCCAAAACCTAACTGTCCAAGTGCTACATGCTATACTGAACCTCTTAAATAACTGAAATAAACTCCCTACAAATACACCCCATTTATGGTGCTAAATACACTGCTAAATACACCCCATTTATGAATGAAGGTAGCTCTGCTAGAACAGGCTAAATACGCTATGGTAACCTTAAACAAAGTTATTTTGGCTGAAGCTCTCCAGCTACAGCTTCCTGCTGCTGTTTGAAAACCTGCCACCAATAATGGCCAAACCAGTGCTCCTAAGCCCCTCTGGAGATCCAATTAGCTAAAACATCCAGCCAAAAAACCACTTTGTATACAAATAAATTGTGCAAAAATAAAACATAACCCTACAAAAATAGCTTATAACAATTTTTAAAAACCCAGCTATACCTGTAAACACTCCTGCATACACATATAACTCAGGTGCGTATTTTTTTTGGTACTAGAAATTGAACTCAGGACCTTGCACTTGCCAGGCAGATATTGCACCACTGAGGTAAATCCCCAGCTCAGGTGCATATTAACTACCTCTGCAAGTTTCAAAAATCCAGCTGTAAGCTGCTAAAAAATTTACCTGGACCAAATAGCTCACTCTAATAAAGTGATGCACTCAAAAGTCCTGCTCTGGTTACTCTGAAGACTAACCAGTCTATGCACTAAAGTACATCATTCATAGGATTGCTCTATACCTCAACATATGACTCCCCTTAATTCTTAGCATTTCCTAGTCCTTCCTTTGCCTTAGCTCTGTAAATAATTGCTCTTCAATAAAAAAATAGCCAGTAAGATGTTTACAAATAATAAAAATTTAACAAGTTTCCAAGGCACATTGGACACTCCTAAATCAAATTAACTCTTTCACTCCCTTACCAAAGTCAACTTAGGGAAAAACGTGTAATAAAGGAAAGCAAATCACAAACTCCTGGTGAAATTTTTCAGTCTTGGAAATCTTGGCGAGGGCCTATCCTAGAATCACTGGCAACCCTAATGTTACTGCTTCTAGTTGGGCCTTTTCTCAAAAATTCACGTATAATATGACCAGCAAAAATTTGTCTGAAAAACTGAAAAAGGGAAAGATTGTAGCCCAAGATGCCCCCTCTGACAGTATACTTCAGTTTGTTAAGTACCCAGGTAATAGTTCTGGTTACCGTTTCTGTTTCTTTTGTTTCTTAAAAATGGCAGCTCACTATAATACATAGCTGGTCACTGTAATACCCAATTGATAAGCCATTCTGCCCTGTACTTCCTGCTTGCTTATCCCATGTAAGCCCATCAGGGTCTGCTGACATAAATAAATCTGCCTCCAAATCCTGGGTATCAGTCTGGGGTTTCTGTTGCCTGCAGAATCACTGGAGGGAAAAAGTTTTTATAGAAGGTGAAATCGCTGGATTTGAGCACATTTGAAAGGTACCTATGCTCACTGTTATACCGCTAGTGCCACACTGGATTGGATGACATTTGGAAGAGTCACACAGTCCAATTCTCTTGCTTTTATGAATTTAGACCTAAACTCAGGGGTGAAGGAACTTGCTCAAGATCACACAGCCAGTGGCAGACCCTGGGGCCACGGGTATTTTGGCCCATACTTAGAATCTCAGCACTCTGGGAGCCCGAGGCAGGCAGATCACAAGTTCCAGCCCTGTCTGGACAACCTAGCAACTTACTGAGATTCCTTGTCTCAAAATGACAAAAAATAAATAACAACACCCCCCCCCCCCGCGCGCGCTCAAAATCAAACCAAAGCAAAGAAGAGCTCAGTGTGAAGACCCAGGATTCAATCCACAGCACTGCAATAAAATGCTGGGATGAGGGTGGGGAGTTCCTGATGGCTAGGGAAAATCTTTTTTCTCGTATACTTCAAAGAAGGCCTTTGGAAAAATGAACTGGTAAAAATAAAATAATTATAATAACTACAATAGCTTATATATTGAGCAGTTAAATGATGCGTTTTAGATTTAAAGACTCAAAGGGATTCTTAGGGAGTCGGAGTCACCTAGCTGAGTACTTCTCAAACTCTGGTGTCTACAGGTCACCTGGTGATACCGCTAAAACGCAGGTTCTGAGGAAGGGGTCAAGATTCTCCAAGTCTCATAAGCTGACAGAGGAGGCTGATGTGGTGGACCAAGGACCACACTTAGAGCAGCAAGGGTGTAGACATCCTCCCCTCTGCCACTGGAAACCACAGAAGGGACTAGGAGAGGGAAGAAAGAGAAGACCCTAGGTAGAATCCCCTCCACCAAGCCCTTGACAGCCCTCGCCTCCAGCCTACACTGACAGCTGTCCCTGCTTTACCTCTCCTTAGCGTGGCTCACGGTGGGGATCTCCGCGGTGTCACGACAGGACCCAAACAGCCTCTTGTACACGCTGGCCTCCCTGTACGGCTCCTCCTCTGCAGCCGAGCAGAAGCGTCTCACGGTGCTGGTGCACCTGGCAGATTCTGACCTCGCCTGGCTCAAAGACACTACTGCCCGAATCTCCAGCCTCTACCACGCGCACATCTTGGCAGGGCAGCTGCTGCTGATCCACGCTCCGCCTGATGCCTACCCCGCCCAGGTTGGCGAAGGCCACTCTAAACAGAACGTAGACCACGCGTTCCTGATGAGCTTCGCCGCGAGGCTCTCTGAGTACTTCCTGTTAATAGGGGAGGGTGTCTTTTGTGCCCCCAACTTTGTCACACACATTTATTCCAAGGTGATGACCCTGAATCCCAGCCCATGGGCGCTGCTGGAATTCTCGAATATGGGCACCACTGGCAAACTCTTCCATAGCAGGGACCGCCCTGTGCTGGCCCACTTCCTCCTCCTCTTCCACGGGGAGAAGCCCCTGGACAGGCTGATCCTTCATTTCCGCACCCTCCTGGTCCAGGAAAATCAGATCCTCAGCAAACCATTCCTCTTCCACCACAGGTTGTCCCACCCCACCTTGCATGACAAAAAGGACACAGTAGTTCAGAAAAAGAACCCCTACGGTCCTAGCAACCCCCCTGCATCTGTCTTTACAGATATGGTCGTTTCTGATGCTCACTTCCCCTGGGAGGCCTACACCCTGGACGAGTCATTCTTCTGGACAAACAGCATACACATAGGGAACCACTTGACAGTGGTTTTGAACCACCCAGCTAGGCTGAGCAGAGTGCAGGTGATGACAGGCTCCCTCGTGGAAGGAAAGTACGCTCTAGCAAAGGGGCAGGTGGAGCTGGGCTATGGCCCCCAGAGGATGCCTCAGGACTGTGCCAGCTTCGAGCTGCTGGGCTGGCTCGCAGAAGGGCAGATGGACCGGGAGCTACTGCAGGAAAGTGCAGCGGGCCCCGTGAGCTGTGTGAGGCTGGTGGTGAAAGCCAACCAAGCTGGTGGTCTCCTGATCAGGCACATCTACCTCTGGGAGAAAAATGCCACGAAGGAGAAAACGGATCAGAGTTGATGGTGAAATCAGCAAGAGCACACAAAATAAAATCAAGAAGCTATTTTGTTCTAGTCTGGATGAGTGACGTAGGGGAGGTACCAGGGAATGAGAGGCAGAGGGAAAAAATGCTACATTCTTTGGATGCTACTAAGATGTACTCTCCTAGGGCATCTTTTACTGTGGAAAGGCCTTAGTCATTCCTAAAATCTTTAGATTTCAGCAATGCTTGAATCAGCTAACAGAGCATTATGTGCTCACACATAGAGATGGGGTGAGGTATAATGTGGTAAGAAGAGAGTGAGTAGAGAAATGATGTGGAATTTCTAGAATTAACATCATTAGAGAAGAATCTTGGGGACTTATGAAAGGCCTTTTGGAAGATAAGACATCCAAACCTAAATCTCCCAGGTTATTTTGGAGAAGACACCCAGAAGATGTGGCAAGAGATTTTCCAGTTGCAAAAAACAGTACATAGTGATGTGGGCCACCGTGAGAAGGAGCAGTTGGTGAGTGCTCCGGGTGAGGTGAGGCTGAGGCAGAAGAGGAAGCTGCAGAGCTAAGAAAGAAGCAGTTTAAGAAGGGGCATAGAGGCTCACACCTGTAACCCCAGCACCTTGGGAGGCTGGGGCAGAAGGATCGCAAGTTTGAGCCCAGTCTGAGCAACTTAAGAGAATTAGAGAAAGAGCCTGTCTCAAAAGAAAAGTTTTTAAAAGGTCTTAAGATGTAGCTCAGTATGAAGGGCCTGCATTCGATGACCAGTACTGAAAACGTCTTTTCTGAGATGGCATCAAGCAAAAGATGAAGCTGGACCCCAACTTTGCATCATTTAAAAATTAGCACAAATAGATCACAGAAATCATATAAAGAACTAAAGCTATAAAATTCTTAGAAAACATAGATGTACATTCCTGTGACTGTGGAAGAGGCCCAGGGTGCTTAGATATGACACCAAACCACAAGTAACTCAAAGAAATAATAAATGGAATTTCATCAAATTAAAAGAAAGATTGTGTTTCACAGGACATTTCAGAAAAGTGAAAAAGAATGAAAAGACAACTGACACACAAAGTTTGTTCGAATCATATATCTGATAAGAGATTGATGTCTAGAATACACAAAGAAGATAAACAAATAGCTCACAAGCCCATAAATCATGTGATTTCATCATTGGCCATTTAGAGATATGCAAATCAGAACCATAACAAAACATTACATCATACCTATCAGGATGACTATAGTTTTAAAAAAGGAAAATATATGCTGGTAAGGACATACAGCAAATGAAACTCCAAGACATTGCTGGTGGGCTTGTAAAATGATGCAGCCACATTTAAAAAGTGTTGGAATAAGTCGGTCACTATGGGTGTGACCTACTGTGGCGGGTGACTCTTGGCCCTCAGTCCCTTCCTCTGTATGGTCTTTTTGTCACCCTGCTGTCTGGCAGGTGACATGAGAGGACATGTTCTTCTACCATGATGTTTCTGCCACACCACAGGCCTAAAAACAAGAATAGGCTTGACATGGACTGCCTCACTCTCAAACAGTGAGCCAAAATAAATATTTTCCTCCTTTAATTTTTTTCAGGTATCTTATACAGCAACAAAAAGCCAACTAACACAACTTTCCATTTCCCTGAGATTGTGTCAGGATGTAGACAGTGGCTGAGACCTTGCTCATGTGTTTGTTAGGGCTATGAGGTCACATACATGAGAAAAGCAGGTCCAGTGTGAGGACCCAGTGGTAAAGTACTGTCATAACTGACAAGGGACCCTCAGCCTCCATGGCTGGGAGTGGTAGCCTGTGATGGTCTTGGGTCTGCACACTTCCTGGCAGCAGAACTGCTGCCCAGCTTCAATAGATTAGTGCCATCTAGAAAAGTGGGTGCAGGATGGCCACATATTATCGTTTTTTGAGAGAAGCTTGAAATCTCACTTTTCCTATTAAAAAAAATCCCTTTTCAAATGCTGGAGATTCAAAATATAACCAAAAACAACTGAGTCACCATCTTAAAATAGAATTTAGCTACCACTCCATTCTGCTGGGCGGCAGGGGCGGGGGGGATTCCCAGGTTAAGAGTTTTGTCTTAGGCTACAACTTCCTCAGATATGACCTACAATCCTGATAGCACCATGAGCAGGGCCTCCCAGGTGGATTTCTGGGACCTACCTTTATTCCTTTCAGTGACATAGCCTGTCCTGAGCAGCAGGTAGCCATCGGAGGTCGATTCTGTTGGCTCCACTCTCAGAGGTTGGCACTTTCCCAATAGTGGGCTGCCCACCCAGTTTGGGGCTTTGATATTGGTTTGGTTTTTTTGTTTTTTGTTGAGACAGGGTCTCACTGTGTAGTCCGGACTGGCCTCAAACTCCCAGCAATCTTTCTTTAGTTTCCTGAATATTCTTTGTTTAGAATGAGCCATTAAATGATTTACACAGAATGTTATAATTTAAAAAGTCCTATCATTATGGATTGAGAACGGCATCAAAGGTTGAGAAACTAAAGACTCCTGAAGTTGAGGATGTATGGTGGAGCTACCTGAGACTCCTGAAATTTAGCATGTATGCTGGAGCTCAGGTTAGCTTCTTTCTGGACAGGACTCTAAGCTCCTGACTGTGGAAGGCAAAGTGAGTGAACATCAGGCACCACAGAGCAGGCATTGCGTCCCCATGTCAGGCCTCTTTGCTGAGTGTTGGGCTCGGGGTCTCACCTTGAAAAAGCTAATGGTAGCATAGTCATCATCACCCCCAGTCCTGTTCTCCTTAAAGACAGCCAGGCAGGAGTGGCTGGGGCTTGTGGCTACCACAGGCCCAACTGAGCTTACTGACCTACCTTCCCACAAACTCCCTCTCTGGAACAGCATTTGTCCTGTAAAGTGAATGTCCTGCCTTTTGCACCACATAAGGGTTAGGGCAGGGAAATCATGAGAGTCAGTTTGACAAAACTTGCCTTCACTTCCCTGGTAGCAAGTGAATTCTACACAGAGATCAGCTTTGGCTACCAGAAGTGAGACCCTTCTCTGCATGCAAATGCTGCTGTCACTGTTTCCCTCTTCTTTGCTTGGTCTGTTTGGGATTGCTCAGGTACAGAAATGAAGAGCCTTGAGCTGGTTTCCATTTCACCAGAGGCTCTGGTCCTTCCAAATCTCCCTGTTGTTCCCCATTGACCTTGTCCTGGTCTCTTGCAAGCCAAAGGGATTGGAATTTTGTTTGAGAGAAAGATGTACAACTTTCTCCAGGGATGGAAATTTTCTTTTAGGAAGAGCAAGATAAAGGGGCCATCTCCAGACCAGAGCTCTGCGGATGTGGCTGTCCCTTGTGGAGAGGAAAAGCTGAGGTGGCTCAGGTGTCTATCTTTACCTGTGGGCAGCAATTTGGCCCTGGTTGGTTTGAATAGCAGGGCTCCTGTGTGTGGGGGGAAATGAAGTGTGAGTGTGAATCCCATCCTCTCTGTGGGGATCCTCTCATTTGGGTCCAGTAGTTGTATTCCCTGCTGACCTTTTTTATTCTTTGTGCCAACCACAACTATCTTTTATCTCCAGCAGGTGCTTCGTGTTCTCCTGTTTCACCTATTATGGAAATGGCATCTGTGTCCATTTGTAGCCAGAAGCCCACTTGCAGAAGAGACCCAGTATGACTAGCCCATCCCCTCAGGAGCCTTGTTCTGTCACTTTTACTCACCCACGCCGTTATGAAGTCTATACTGAGTGTTGACCATCTGGGACGAGGGTCTCAGTGCTAGTGTTACCTCCATGGAGCTTTTGGCTCCTGAGAATTAAGCAAGCTCATCTCTGGTTACTACTGTTCCACGGGAAGCACAGAGACTCTGGTGTTGTACAAATGGGGTCTTAATCCCAGTCGGTTTACGCACTGAGAACTTAAAATGTGATTGAGCATCTCTGAGCCAGTTTCTTGACCTGTAACATAAGGTTTTCACTGCCACACAGGGCTCACAAGTGAATCAAAGAAGATCCACACATAAGGTGGATGGTAGACACCCAGAAGGCACCAGCCCCAGTGCCTGCTCTCAATGCTCTTCCCAGGGAATCCTCTCCCCCCCCCACACCCTTGGGCTACAGACAGAGCTCGTGCCTGTCAGCCCCTTCACCATCCCTCAGACCCATCTCTTTTGGGTTGATGTGGCCCTGAGGCTGCAGGAACCACGCACTTAGCTCTGGGCTTGGGCTGCCCGGGGACCTCTGCTAGCTGGTTCTGAGAGGGAGCCCCCCGCCCCATAGGTCCAGGCAGGCAGGACCTCCTGTTGCCAGCCCTGCCCCAGGCAGGTGGGGAAGGGCAGAGTTTTCTCAGACAGAGCCTTAGGGCTTGCTTCTGCTCTTTCTGGTTGGGCTACTTTAGGAGCCCTGGGCAACCAAGGAGCCATATTGGCACCCACGTAGCTAAGCAATATGGCAGAGAGAGAAATCAGGCTCCCAAGATCTCCTCCCAGAAGCTTCACCTCCTCACCAACCACAAGCGTAAGTGGCATCTACCTGGTGGACATGCAAGGGGCAGGGTGATGTGGGCTACAGATGGCCTTGGCTGCTTGCTCTGGGTGTCTAAAGTCTTATCCCTAAGATGGCGGAAACATCTTCATAGGCGTTTGTGGCAATCCAGTGACACACGTCAAATGTGATTAGTTTGTGTGAGGACTAGAACTGTTAAGCAAGAAATTCATCACATCAGGTCACCGCATTACCCAGTTTAATCCCTTCAGTGATGTCTCCATAGCTGCTGGGGAGAAGCATGTTTCACACAGACTGTGGTCACCTGGCGTCCTTCACTCCCAGCTTCTGAGCCACACAGTCCTCGTGGCCCTTTCTGTGTCCTGTCCAAGATCATGTCTGCCCTGGGACTTTCGCATGTGCCATGTACTTGCCTGGACCTCCTCCTGCTGGCCACTGCCGTGCTCAACATCTATGGAGCATCCTCAGAGGAGTCTTTGCTGACCACCCGCACATGGCCAGGCCTTCCTATTACATGTTCTTTAAGCCTTCAGCTTCTGCTTTGGGGATCCTTGAAACATTATGTGACTATGTGAGGCTCGTATGGCCTCTCCATACCCAGGAACTGTGTATGGCCATTTGTCCATCACTTACCTACAAGGTCTCACAGAGTTTTTGACGCACAGTAGGCACTTCATTTATTGCAAGACAAGGCAACTAGCTAGGGGCAGGGGCACATACCTGTAATCGCAGCCTCTTGGGAGGCTGAGCCAAGAGGACCACATGTTTGAAGCCAGCTTGGGCAACTTAGTGGGTTCATGTTTCAAATACATACATACATACATACATGGGCTGGAGTTACAGCTCAGCATCCTCTGATTCAATCCCTAGTACAGCAGGGGGTGGAAGGAACAACTGAATCAGAGGCTACCTGACTTGCAGTCCCCTAATCCACTCCTGGTAGCTGGCACCATAACCCACCCATCCATCCCAGATGCTCAGCTCAGCTAAGCACCTGTCCTAGCATAAGAATCCAGAGAGCTTTCCTGGACTTTCCCTCTTACTCTTCTCCATCAAAACTCAAAATTCCATTCACTTGCACTTTTCCTCCACACTCCCTTCCATGACTCCAGAACGCAGCCCATTTGGTGTGGCTGTTTTATACATTGCCTATTCACCATCAACCAACTTTGA